TGTATTTTTTTTTCTTTGCAGTGGTACAGGCCCAAAACTATACTCACCATTTGCCATTGCCATCCAGATGTGAAGATAAATAATTAAAAAGCCATCAACATCACTGAAAAAGCTTCCTTGCTACCTCAGAAAGACTGGGTTCACTGAGTCTCCCTCATGGGGGCCAAGCCGCCATTGCCCCCTAAAACTGTGCCTGTTGATGATGAACTCTCACTTGGTGGCCAGACTCCTGCATTCTCCTGTCATGAATGCAGGGATAGGCGTGAGACCCTAGGAGGGCACATCATAAAGCACTGGATAGACAAAGGCTACGATTAAATGTTTTTTTTAAAAGGTAAAAAATTAAGGAGATGCAGAATAAGGAGAATTTCACCTAGGAACACAACAATCCTGGCATCCTGTCCATGGGAAAAGCAGGACCCAACACAAAAGACCCCCAAGGTTTGCCCCTGCAACATCAAACTGATTGGTTGGATGGCAGGAACAAAGATTTTGGAATGCTCGAATAGGAAATGAATATTGTGGAACCCAGGAAGCATTTTGCATCCATGAATGGCAAGACCACCCAAAATATGATTTCAGACTGTGGACAAGAATTGGCTTATGATTTTTCTTAGAACTACCAGAACACTGGGCAAGAGCACTAAATAGTGAGTAGGACATTTGCCTTTTACTTCTTGAATCCACCTTCAATCCACAGCATCTAATATGGTTCCTCAAGTTCTGCCAGGATTAAGTCCTGAGTTTAGACCCAGGAATAATGAATGAGCATCGCTAGGTGTGGTCCCAAAACAAAACAAAACAAAACAAAACAACTAAAACACAAGACCATTCCTTCTGTACCTCAGGAGCCCTCCATCCCATACATACTCATGTCCTCTGATGCTAGTGCTTTCCCAATGAAATCACCTCTGGGGACAGTGCTGTTTGAGGAGGAGCGTGTGAACTTCACGTGGAAAGAATGACAGTTCCTGGCTGATGAACAGAGGACCCCGTTCAGTGAGGTGACACTGGAAAACTACAGGACCTGGAATCATTGGGACATTCTGTCTTCACACCTGAAGCAATCATCAAGTTGAAGAAAGAGTAGAGCCATGAAAAAATAAAAATAAAACAAGGAGTAGAGCCATGGATGAGAGATAACTCAAAACAGAGTCTCTCAGGAGAGAAACACAAATAAAAACAATGTAGAAAAACTTTCTCAAGGAAGCCAGATCTAATTCAACATGAAAGATTTCACACAGGAGAGAAACCCTATGTACATATACAATGTAGGAAAACATTCACAGTGAAATCCTCTCTCATTCAACATGAGAACTCAAACAAGAGAGAAACCTAATTCATGTACTGAATGCTCAAGATCTTTCTCTTGTAAGTCATGTCTGATTAAACATAAGAATTCACATGCGATAAACCCTACCAATGCAGTGAATGCAGGAAGAAATCTTTCTCCATTAAGTCATTACTGACTGAACATAACAGGATTCACACGAGAGAAACCCTGTAAATGTAGGGAAACATTCTCATTGAAATCAAACCTCACTAACCATGAGAGGAGACCCTACGCAAGTAGGAAAACTTTCCTTTTAAATCATACCTCGCATTGGGTTGGAGCGATAGCACAACAGATAAGGCATTCCCAGCATTCCATATGGTCTCCCGAGCACCGCCAGGCGTAATTCCTGAGTGCAGAGCCAGGAGTAACCCCTGTGCATCGCCAGGTGTGACTCAAGTAGCAAAAAAAAAAAATCATACCTCACTGAATAGGAGTGAAATTCATGGAGAGAAAACCTGTGAATGGAAAGTAAACAGGAAAACGTTCTCATTATAATCGTATCTCATTAAACAATATAGAATTCATACACGTGAAAAACACTGTTTATTGCAAAGAATGTAAGAAAACCTTTTTGATAGAATTGTACCTCACTCAACATAATTCGTGCAGGAGAGAAACGATATGAATGTAAAGTGTGGATGAAAACTTTTTACAACAAATAAGTTCACCCGATACACAAAATACCTTACAAAGGAGACAGACCCTTAGAGCATGAAATGTAGGCAAAGATTTTCCATTGAAATGAGACCTCACTGAACTTGAGAAGATTCACAAAGGAGAGAAACCCTGTGAATGCAAGAAAACTTTCTACACGGTGGGAAAGACAGCCCACACTGCCTTCTCTCTGGGTGGAACCCGTTGTTTCAGGATTGACCTGTACTGAGAAATTAACTTGCTGAAAATTCAAGTATGCAATTTTTTGTGACTGATAACTTGACTTGGAATGGGCTACCTCCCCTTACCTCCCTGTACTTCTGGAAGCTCTGCAGTCATACCCACGAATCAACCACCATACTGCGAAGGCTCTTCTATCATTCTTGCTTCAATGACTCAAAATCTTGAAAGAGAACAAACAGCTGCCAAAACTCCTTCTATCACCCATGCATGGCTGAGACCTCAGGGGCCAGCCCAGGGCCCGCCCAAACAGAGCCCCGGCTGCTGGTCACTCCCCAACTGCAAAATCGCAGTCATGCATCTGGTCAGTCTCCACTATCTCAGAACAGGACTCACCCAGAAATTAACCTGCTGAAAGTTCAGGTCTGCAGGTCTTTGTGACTAAAATCTACAGGCTTTCTCAGTGTTGGGACAGGCTACTTTGTAAATAAGTGTTTAAATAAACTTACAAACTTAAAGGAATGATGGAACTTTCAGATACATGGAATCCTGAATTCAGAGCACAGATATCAACCCTCAGAGTCAGAGTCTGTGAGTCTATGACAAAATGGTTAATTCTCAAGGATTTACAGAGTATTTAAGTAAGGTGTGTGCCTTGCATGCAGGTGACCATGATTTGGTCCCCAGCAAAGCACATTTTCTCCGAAACCTGTCAGGAGTGATTCCTGTGTACAAAGCCAGAAGTAAGCCCTGAGCAGAGCAAGATATGGCCTAAACTACAAGAAAAGGAAATACTGTGACACAAGAAAACTACTCCTGAAAAAAAAAACGCTTCTGGGCATTTATCTGACATGAAAAATACCCATCTAGAGACATTTATAACCCGATTTGATCATAGCAGATTCGTGATAGGTGAAACATAGGAATTCACCTAAATGCCCATCCACATATGACTGGCTAAAGAAGCAAGGGCATACTGACTCTAGAATACTATTCTGCCATTTTTAAAGATGAAATGTTATTCTGGACAAACTGAAATAGACCATGAGCTAAGTCTGGAAGTGAAAGACAATCATCACTATTTACTCATTTGGAGCATGCATTACTAAAGAAAGTACACCCCAAAGAACTAACAAAATGGGCTTGCTCTTTAAGTCCATGTACTCACTTAAACATGCATATCACTTGCCTCTATGTTCTTGATTTACCTTTTTCTACTCTGGAGTATCCAGTCTTCTCTCCAGAACACACATTTCTTCCTTTCTCTACCGTCACAGCTTTTCAAGTTTTCAAACTAATTTGCTTAAGGGCTTGGACAATAGTACAGTGAGGAGAGCATGTGCCTACACAGAGCCAACCCGCATTCTATCTCCAGCATCCCATGTGGTCCCCCAAGTACAGCTACGAGTAATTACTGAGTGTAGAGCTAGCAGCAACCCGAGTTTCTACCAGGTCTGACCCCAACCCCACCCCCCAAAAAAACAATTATATTAACTCTCCTGCTTCACTAAAAAAATTAAAAGTGAAAGAAAATAACAAACTTGCTAGACTGAAGGAATACAATGGTGACTCTCAGAGAGATGGAGTTGGTAGAGCAAGGAACCAGCATGGTCTTTTTGGTGGTGGGATAGCAACCAAAGCTTGGTGGTGGATGTTGTGACAATTATACATATATAAAGGTCTGAAGTTAACAGCAGAACCTTCACAATACTTCAAAACAATTTTAAGGCAATTTTGAAAAAGTACATTTCTGTATGAGGTGAATTTTGTTGTGTCAATTTCTCGATAAAAATAAATGCCAAGGAACATATGTGGAAAAGTATCAACCAAAAAAATGGTTCAGGAAAAGACACATCTCAAAATAAACAGAACAGACTAACAGCTTCATTACTGTATCTATGTCACGCTACTTAAACCGAATTAAGTCACACATCTCTATCGGTTTTATCTGCCAAATGGAAAGTCATCCAACACAGATGAAAATTTAAGAACTAATGTTTTCCTATTTCTTAAATATTTCTCATCGTTCTTGGGGGGGGTTAGGTTCTTGGATCTATATATGAACCAATTTACCCCATGTAATCTGATTGGTATCAAATATATTCCCAAGGATAATAAACTGCGCTTAAAAATTAAGAACATGAGGCAATGGAGAGATGAAAAAGCAGGTCAGGCGTGTGAACTGCACATAGCTAACCTGCGTTCAATCTCCTTGGCATCCAATATGGTCTTCCAAGCACTGCCAATAGTAATAACTGAGTGCAGAGCCAGGAGAAATCCAGAAGAATCACCAGGTGTTACCTGACCACCCGCGCCCAAAAGAAGTAAGGGCATCAGACTTTAGAGAGTATATATCCCTCAAGGATTAATGTACACGGGAATAAAATTATTGACCTCCAAAAGATTTTACATATCAAAAGTGAGATATAATTGGTTTTGATTTTTAAAAAATGCTTCTTATAATAGTTCAAATCTGGGGCCAGACAGACACTTCGGTGGACAGGGTGATTCTTTTCCAGGCAGCTGTCCTATGTTCTGTCCCCAGAACCTCATATAGTCCTGAGCCCTGCCAGGATTGACCCGTACGCACAGAGCTAGGAGTAAGTCATGAGTACATCCTGGTGGGACCCAACATACACACACAAACATACACACACACACACAAGAACACACCATTTCATGTGCAATTCTACCAAGCAACTCAATCGGCTGCAGTCTTAGTGATGCCTGTAATCTCTGGAATTGGGAGATCCCAAGTTCCGGGAGTGCCAGGATTTGATACCTGTGGGATATATCATTGCTCCTACTCCTACTCTTAGGACCATGCCATTTAGAATGCTCCTTGTGCCTGCCAGCCAATGTGGGTATCTGACCTTTGATCTCTGTCCCTATCCCTGTTCTTTTCTTCCCTTTCCTCCCTCCTACTTAAGGACCTGTGTTCCTGTTTGGGCTTCTTCTTCTTTGGCTCCCTGTCTCTGCTCCGGCCTCTGTTCAGGAGTGGTAGGCTGTCCTGACCTCAAGGGAGGTGTGGTACTGCTTCAGCCCCTCCCTGAATTCTGACTTCTGAACCTTTTTTGAGTTCTTGTTGTTGAACTTTTTACAGTCGGGGGAATTGTTTTCCTTTAGCATCTTGCTTCTGGGTGATGAAGAGGAGACTGGTGCATCGTGCTGTACCTCCCGCTTTTCTTCATTTACTTTTTTTCCTTTTTGTCTGGAGATAAAAAAAAATGGACGAAAGCAACAAATAGGAAATGAAAAAATATACAACTCTCCCACAAAAGTTCCTATTTTCTAAATACACTAGATCAAATGCAGAACCAGGAGTAAGCCAAAGCACCATCAGGTGTGACTCCCACCCCCCAAAACTAACTTGAAGTTGGGGTGGTGATGCTTGGAGGACCATACAGTATGCAAGAGTTCAAACCCGGGTTGGCTGTGTATAAATCAAACACGCTACCCACTCGCTGCACTATTATCATCCAGTTTAATTATTTGAATTTTAATAGTATATTAATATTCATGGCAAGACTGCAAAAAAAAGCAAAGTTTATAAGATGAAGAGTCAAAGTATCATAATTGTCATCCTCTAATATAAAAATCATGAGCTTTGAAAATGTCTTAGAAGATTTTCTAGAAAGTGTGTATGCCCGTCAGATATTCCTTAAATTTACTTTTCTCTAGGGAAGTCGGATGAAATAAAAAGAGTATTGGGGTGAAGCAATAACGAAGCAGGTAGGGCATTTGCCTTGCACACTCCCGGGTCGGGTTCGATACCCAGCATCCCATATGGTCCCCTGAGTACCACCATGTGTAATTCCTGAGTGCAGAGCGAGGAGTAACCCCTGTGTATCGCCAGGTAGGAGAAAAAAGAAAAATAATCAGTATCTATATTTGTATCTTGACATAAACTTAAGCTTACTAAGTCACTATTTCTTAAGAGTTTTGGTTATATGAACATTTTCTTTCTATTAGGAAATAAAATTACCTTTCTACCGTTAAATAAACAGCTTTATCCATCAAAAAAGTTAAGACCACCTGGAATCATTTTTGGTCATAACACTTTACCTTTTTGCGTTTTTTTGTGGGCTTGTCATCCTCAGAGTCCTCATCTGAAAATTTTGGAGGCTTGTGTGCCCCACAACCCTTCTCCTGAAGCAATCTGGTCACATCATCCAATTCATCTGAGTCCTTAGGAGCCCTATAGTTAGACACATGATCCATTCGTATAGTCCGTCCTTTGATCTCAGACAGAAAGACAACGCATCAGCAAAGATAGCCCTTCTACGAAACGAAGTGACCCACACAAACTTCGTGCTAATTCTATATCTGGGGAAATCTCCAAAACTGTTTGCCCAACAGGTGTGTTTGAGCACATTTCCCAGCCAGCAATTTTCTCTGCTCTCAGGGCAACCACAGGACTGAGGGCTACTGCGCCCCTGAGGCAAGTGCACTAGCATCTGCGGTCAGTTTACCCCTGTGTGCCATACAAATATTTTTGTGCTCTATTGATGGCATGATATAAAAAAAACTCTGGGAATTTTTGTAACTAGCTCACCCTGATACTTTTGCTGTGAAACACAAACTCTGGGCAAACAACAGAATATTAAAAACTCACATCAAACAAAACCATTTCTTTTATCAAGCACATACTTAAAAATTCTTTTTTGATGGTGGGGGATGTTGAACCACTACTGAATGTGCTCAGATCATATGGGCTGTCCAGGTCATAACCCTGGTCAGCCTGGTAAGGTCTGAGCCCTACCCACAGTAGGATCACTTCACTCTCTGATACATACTCAATTCTATATTCATTAGGCACTCAACATTCCCAAAGTCTAGCTTTTATTGTTCCAATACAAGGTCTGATTTTAGTTTTACTTTCAGTCTAATCCACCTTTTATCATCTATCACATTTCCCATTGAAAAACATTTTTGAGGACCTGGAGAGAGAGCACAGAGGATAGGGCATTTGCCTTGCACACGGCGAATCACGGTTCAATTCCCAGCATCCCATATGGTCCCCCCAGCAAGGCAAGTAGTAATTCCTGAGTGCAGAAGCAGGAATCATTGTGCATCCCCAGGTGTAACCCAAAACACAAATTAAATAAATAAATAAAGACATTTTTGAGGGTCCAGAGTGATAGCACAGAGGGTAAGGCATTTGCCTTGCACGTGGCCGACACAGGTTCGATCCACAGCATCCCATATGGTTCCCCCAGCAAGGCCAGGAGTATTCCCTGAGTGCAGAGCCAGGAGTAACCCTGAGCATCGCTGTGTATGACCCAAAGAGGGAAAACATGTTTTGAAAACCATCCCTTCTATGACTGACTTTGAATATAGGATCCATAAAATGAAAACCTATAACCCCATTCCATGCTGTCCTCGTAACTACTTATTACTGGTGCAATCAGTGACAAATTCTCTAACAGTCACTCTCCTGGGCTGGAGAAATACAGTGGTGAGGAGGGAAAGGTAAGAAACAAAGGCCTCCCTGGGTGGGTGGGGGAATAGCTAATACTGAGGAAGGAAGAAATGCTGACTGGGGCACAGGCCCATGTAATTGCTCCCTAGAACAATTTCCCCACACCCCTGAAACTCTTATAGTCTCATCCTGGTGGCCCCTGGGCCTCTCTGAATCAGGGGAAAAATAAAACCAAACCATTCCATCAGAAACATTCCGCCAAATCCTGCTTCATACTTTTACTCACCTTGATGCCATTAAAATTGTCAACAGCCAGAATTGTGCTCCGGTGGTCTTCATAGCAAAGGAAACAGAATCCCTTGGATTTCCCAGTCTTCTTATTGTGTACCAGACTTATGTTAACAATCTCACCATATCTATTTAACAAAAAAAGACACTATTTGAAGTAAACTGTTCAGAATGGATGACAAACAAAACTTAAATATTGACTATAAAGACAAAGCTAGAACCAGATGACAAATGAAGGTTAACTATAAAAACTTATAGGGAGGGAGCTAAAGCACGACAGTGGGGAGAGCTCTTGCCTTGCATGCAGTCAACCGGGTTCAATCCCTAGCACCCCATATCATTCCTTGAGCCCCACCAGGAGTGATCCCTGAGCACCACTGGTGTAGCATCCCTAAATAAGACAAAAAAGTTAATAAGAAATGTCCCATTTAAACAGTGAGTGAAGACAAGAAAAGTGCCTGCCATAGCTGAAGGCTGGGGAGTGGGGGGTGAAGGGTGATGGGAGGGGAAACTGGGGACACCGGTGCTGGGAAATATACACTGGTAGAGAGATGGGTGTTGGAACACCGACTGAAACTTAATCTCAAACAGCTTTTTAAGGGTCTATCTCACAGTGATTCAATTAAAAAGGTAAAAGGTTTAAATATACAGATAATAATTAAGATTCAAAATCCATGCCTCCCACCTAAATTAACATACTCAATCACTCCCAGGAGAGATCCCAGAGCACAAAGCCAGGAGTAATCCCTGAGCAGAGCTCGGTGTCACTGGGACAACGGTATAGCTAGTAAGGTACTTTCCTTGCACACGGCCGGCCCAGGGTCAATCCCCGGCATCTCATACATTCTTCAAGCACCACAAAGTATGAATCCTGAGCCCAAACCCATGAGTATTGCCAGGTGAGGCACAAAAACAAAAACCTAATATTTTTAATAGAGTCAGAAAAAGAAAACAGCAAGCAGAAAACTCAGTGGTGAGTTCAGTATATGCTTTGCAGGTGGGACACCTAGGCTCAATTCCTGGTACCAAATGCTTCCCCAGGTACCACCAGAAGTACTCCCCCTACACCAAGCTGGAAAAAGTTCCCAAGCATCAGTGGCTAGGGCCAAATACAAAAAAAATTGATGAATACATTATAAACATAATCATAGACACATATTTCAGCCAAAACCTAGAATCTTTAATAAAAAGTACAAAAAACAGCTCAAGTGTTGCCAAGAACATTTACCTACTTAATTGATGAAGCTATAGCACAGCGGGTAGAGCACCTGCCTTGCATATAGCCGACCCGGGTTTGATTCCTCGATCTCTCTTGGAGAGCCTGGCAAGCTACCAAGAGTATCCCGTCCGCAAAGCAGATCCTGGCAAGCTCCTCGTGGCGTATTTGTTATGGCAAAAACAGTCACAATAAGTCCCACGATGGAAATGTTACTGGTGCCCGCTGGAGCAAAACGATGAACAACGGGAGGACAGTGTTACAGTGTACTGTTATCTGCCAATGCAATTAGGAGAAAACATCAGAAATAAAATAAATCAGAAATAAAAGGTGAAACCGTATCCGTTTGAAGACTAGATGTGATTGTACTATAGAAAACCCAAAATACTCCTAATTAAGAGTCCAAAATTTACTTAAAATCACAATGCCTAATTAAATTTTTTCTTAAAACTAGGATATAGTTACAAATAAACCACTTTCTTTTTTAATATATTTTTTATTAGTGAAACACCATGAGGTACAGTTATAGACTTATAAATTTTTGTGCTTGGGATAAACCACTTTCTTGAATTCAAACAGTGATTGGTTAGAAATATATAATGGAGAAGGAACCACATTTATAATTAGCAAGAAAAATAAAATTTAAAAAAATCTTCAGGGGCAGAACAATAGTACAGTGGGGAAGGTACTTGCCTTACAAGTGTCAGACACAAATTCGATCCACGATATCCAATATGGTCCCCTAAGCACCGCCAGGAAAAATTTCTGAGGGCAGAGCCAGGCGTAACACCTGAGCACTGCCGTGTATGGACCAAAAACAAAAATAAATAAATACATAAACTTGAGGGATTGGAGAAAGAGTACAGTGGGTAGGGCACATGCCTTACACATATCCCACCTGGGTTCTATTCTCTCTATGAGGTCCCCCAAGCACTGTCAGGTCTAATTCCTGAATGCAGAGTCAGGAATAAACCCGGAGCACGCAGAATATGGCCAAAACAAAAAAATGTAAATAAATAAATAATGAAAATGGACTTGAACAGGGCTGGAGATAGAGTACAGGGTCAAAGCGCTTGCCTGAAATGTGACAGACTTGGCCTAATCCTCGTTATGACATATGGGCCCTGGGCCCTGACACTAGGGGACACTGATAACAGAGCCAGGAATAAGCCATGAGCAACATCAGGTATCACACCAAAAGAAAAATAAAGTATAAATGGTACTTTCAGTAATACTTTTTATAACTCCTCAAAGAAACATAGATTTAAGTAAATATAAAAATATAAAAATATCCCTTGTTGGGCTTAATGGCTCTAAGGTGAGATACAAAAATCTTCACACATATACAAATAAGAAAACATTTTTGGATCATTTTAATGCATTATTCATAACAAGCAATACAAAATGTATTATCTAGTACTTGGTTTGAGGGCAGGCTTAAGTTGTGGTCAGACAATCCGAAATAATGGGGGTGAGAAGGTGTAATGGTGGTGGAATTGGTGATGGAATAGTGAATGTAATAAATTCTTCTGAACAATTCTATAAAAATAAAATTGGCAGAAAAATATCCTTTGTTGTTGGTTAGGATATGCAAACATAATCAAAACACTAAAAATCCTTCTCAAAATTAATATATAAACTTCATTCCACTTTTAAAATGCACACCTTTTTTCCCTGAAGTAGAGTAAGTTGTTTCCAACATTCTTGTGGGAAAATGAACATAAGAATAACTAGGAACGGGGCTGGAGTGATAGCACAGCAGATAGGGCATTAGCCTTGCATGTGGCCAACCTGGGTTCAATTCCCAGCATTCCACATGGTCCCCTGAGCACCACCAGGTGTAACTCCTGAATGCAAATCGAGGAGAAACCCCTGTGCATTGCCGGGTGTGACCCAAAAAGGAAGAAAAAAGAAATATCCAGTGGTGCTCGGGTGTTACTCCTAGCTCTATGCTCAGGGGTCATTCTAGACACTCTAGGGGACCATCTGTGATGCTGGGGATTAACACAGAGGTAGGGTGGGATAGGGGGGTGGGGGTGGTAGGGATACTGGGACTGTTGGTGGTGGATAATGTGAACTGGTGGAGGGATGGGTATTCAATCATTGTATAACTGAAACCCTAACACAAAAATTTGTAAGTCTACAACTGTACCTCATGGTGTTTCACTAATAAAAATTTAAGAAAAAAAAAACAGGATGAACCACATGCAAGACAAGCACTTAACCCTGAAATTTCTGGCAAGATAAAAAAGAATAAGAGATTTTTATAATTTACATGACAGATCAAGGACTACAAAGCAATTTTTCTGCTACACTAAAGAGATTATCAGCAAGCTGGGGAGACGACTCAAAGGGCTGTTACCACTGCACTGCATTCTAGAAACTCAGGGTTGATCACCAGCACCATATGGTCCCTTGAGCACCAGTGAGAACGACCCCGAGCAATGGACTGGGAGTAGCCCCTAAGCTCCACTGGGTAAGGCCCAGAAACAACAAAGGGCTTTTTGAGACAGAAGGTGAAACTGAATAAAACAGAAAGGTTCGATAATACTTCTGTATGACAGTTGATTTCCTGATGGCATTATTCTTTTGAAAAAACAAATTGAAGAATTTTGGTACTGGGCTGGAGGGCAGCACAAGGCACTTGTCTCGTGACTAGGGTTCACATAGCATCCCATGTGCTACCCCAAGCACCGCCACGAGTAATTCCTGAGTGCACAGCCAGGAGTAATCCCTGAGCATCGCCAGGTATGGTCCAAACACACAAATCATGTCTTGCAATGGACTCTAAGATAATTTAGTAAAATCAGAAAATGTGAAACAGGTAAAAATAGTAATAACAATTAGATACTATAGTAATAGACAGGGACTTGGCTAAGGGGATAGAGTGGCATTCCTTACATTTTATAATTTTTCTGTATTAGTTTTGAAATGAAAGTTTAAAATACATGAACATGAAATATAAGCAGTATTTCAAGACAAAAATCAAAGAAACAGTAGAGGAAATGGTTTTAAAAGGCCTCTCTAGACCTCAAACTAAAAACTTCTCAACATGAAAGAATAATGGCACAGTACTAGCACACATCAAATTGGAGAGTAAGACTGAGCACCACTGTGCCCAAAATACAAAAAAAAAATTGTTCAAGTTATCTGCTCATTATCCACCATAGCTACCTTCAAAATCAAATGTCTGCAAGGGGGCCTTACAAACAGAACCCAGGGACCATTCCGTGGATATTGGGTCAGACAACTCAGTGGAAGGGCTCAAGGATGTGGTGCTGCACTGACACTGCAGATTGGGGAACCTCCAGTGCCACCTGGCAGTGCTCTGGGCACCACCAAGGATATACCTCTTGAAGCATTGAGCAGTGCTTTTAGTGCTGTGGGACATCAGACCTAGTTTAATAATCTAAGGTCCTAACCCGCTATCTCCTTGCCCCACAAAATCAGTTTGAATATATAAATATTAACCCTACCTCACACAGATTAAGGATTATAAAGAAAACTTTTAAGCATTTCACAAATGTAAATCCTCATTCAAACATGTCCTACCTCTATAAATGCGTTTATTAGGTAAGGTAAAGGCCCTACCGTTGATCGTCGATTTGCTCGAGCGGGCCCAGTAACGTCTCCATTGGAGACTTTGTTGTTACTGTGTCTGGCATATCGAATACTCTCGGTAGCTTGCCGGGCTCTCCGAGAGGGGCTGAGGAATCGAACTCGGGTCGGCCATGTTGGCCGCGTGTAAGGCGAACGCCCTACCCGCTGTGCTATCCCTCCAGCCCGTATGACTTATGAGATTTTTCAAAGCAGCTAGGAATGTGTCCCAGGCAAAGCAATGAGAGGATGGGGAAAGTGAAAAGGGGCAGGGCGAAGAAGATAGGAGTGAGGGGTAGGGGAGGAGAAAGGAAAGAACAAGAAGTGGCGGAAGAGATAAGGGGAAAGGGGGAAGTGGAAAGGGAAGAGGAAGGTAAGAAAAAAGAAAAGAGGGAGGGCATGGGGAAGTGAAAGCGGGAGAGGTGGGAGGGGTGGTGGAAGGCAAAAAAGAGGAAGATGGAAGGGTAAAGGGAGTGGGAATAAGTCAGAAGTGAAGAGAGGCATGGGGGAAGGCTAGGGAGAGAGTAAATCAGTGAAGGGAAGAGGAAGAGGAGGGGAGAAAAGGGGAAGAGGAGAGGGAAAGAGGATGAAAGGGAGAAGGGAAAACGAAGAAGGAATAAGGGAGAGGATTATAAGAGGATGAGAAGGGTAAGGGGAGGACAGGAACTGGAGCATAGCACAGCAGGTAGGGTGTTTGCCTTGCACATGGCCAACCCGGGTTCAAATCTCAGCATCCTATATAGTCCCAGGAGTAATTCCCGAGTGCATAAGCCAGGAGTAACCCTGTGCAAGGCCGGGTGTGACCCAAAAAGAAGCACTGAAGTGTACTGTCCCACCGTTGTTCATAGATATATGTTCTAGTGTGCCCAGTAACGTCTCCATCATGAGACTTGTGGTTACTGTGTTTGGCATATTGAAAATGTCAAGGGGAGCGTGCCAGGCTTTGCCGAGCCAGCGAGATAATCTGGGTAGCTTGCTGGGCTCTCTGACAGGTGTGGAGGAATCGAACTCGAGTCGGCCATATTGGGCACTTGCAAGGCAAACACCCTACCCGCTGTGCTATCGAAATTAAAAATTAAAAATAAATAAAACTGTACAACATTAAAAAATAGAGGAGGAAAGGGAATGGGGAGAGCAGGGGGCGTGGGAAGAAGAGGGGGAGAGCACGGGGGAGGGGGAAGGAGAGGGCAAGGGGAGGGGGAGAGGAAAATAAGGAGATAAGGAGAGGCGTAGAGGAGGACAGGGGAAAGGAAAATGGACATGAAGGGTCGGGGAGAAGAGGGGAGAGGGGGTGACAAAGGCAATGGAGAGGGGGAAGAGAAAGAGGTAATTGTGGGGGGGGGGAATGCGGGGAAAAATAAAAACCTGGAAAAAGAACAGAAATAAGGGTGCTGGAGAAATAGTACCGTGGGTACGGCGCTTGCCCTGCCCGTGGCCAATGTCGGGGGTCCCATCTCTGGCATACCATATATTCCCCCAGACACCGCCAGTTGTGATCCTGGTGCATTGAGCCAGGAGAAACCCAGGAGAACTGCCGGGTGTGGCCCCCAAGAAAAGAAGCAGAAATACATGCCGGCAGGGCTGGAGCGCTCATGTAGTACGTAGGGCAGTCGTCTTGCATGAGGCTGACCCAGGTTCAATCCCTGGCACCATCCCTGGACCATCCCATAGGTTCTGTGAGCATCGCCTGAAGTAACTGCTGAATGCAGAGTCCCGAGTGACGTCTGACCATCGCTGGGTGTCACCTAAACGGGGGGCGGGGGGGTCGCGAGAGCCAGGGAGAGTAGAGGAATAACGGGAGAAGAGAGGCGGAAGGCTGAAACCCTCCCTCGAAAGCCAGGCGGCGGGGAACCCGAGGCGCACGGCGGCAGAACTCACCCAAGAAGATCCAGGCGCTGCTGTCCTTGTACTCGGCGTGCCAGGACACCTTCTCCGCCACCCCCAGCTGGTCCCCTCGCTCCTTGAGCTCGTTGATTAACTTCAATTTCGTCAACGGGCTACAGAAGTTGCCACCGAGTAAAGAAACGGCCCGGCGACCGAGAGCGCCCAACTAGGGGTACCCTGGAAGAGTGAGTCTCGGCGCCGTCCGGACTTCGCGACCCCCGCCCCCTCGGACGCTTCGCCCCCCGCCCCGCCACTTCCCTCAGCTCCTCCCGCCCCGCATCCCAATCCCCCAGCCCCGACCTCCCACACTCCACGGAGGACAACCGGAGCCTTACTTCATCTTCCACAGGTTTCCGCTCCAAGATGCGGATGTAACGACCTCTGGAAAAAGCCGTTTAACGGTCGCCCGGCTTCAGCGAGCAATCCCATTGGACTAGAACTGCCCCGGAAGAGATAATTCAAACCGGAAGAGATTAGGCATGTCGGGACATAAGGCGAGGAACGCATGCGCACTAGAACCGGGCCGTGTCTCACGACAACTTTGACTTTGCCACACTTTTTTTCCCTCCTAGTCCCTACCTTCTGCCTGTGAACCTGAAGTGCGAAATGCGTCTGTTGCCGTCCACCATATTCTTTACGCCTGGGATGCTGATTACGTGCGCCACTAGTATTTGCTGATTGAAAGCTGGGACAAGATGACTGATTCGTTGCTTTTGATCCCATCCTTTACTTCCAGTACTAAAAACCCTGTTTAGGTGACACTCAGATACATATTGAGATGGACTCGTATCTAAAACATCCCTTGTCAGGGTTGGAGCGATAGCACAGGGGCTAGAGGGTTTGCTTTGCAGGCGACCGCCCGGGGTTCGATTCCCAGCATCACATATGGTCCCCCTGGGTGCTGCCTGGAGTAATTTCTGAGTATATGAGTCTAGAGTGACTCCTGTGCATCGCGGGGTGTGACCCAAAAAGCAAAAAACAGTTAAAAAAAACAATAAAAAATAAATAAAACATCCCTTGTCACTTGGACCTTTTATTAATGGCGGCCTTTGATTCTATTCTCTTAAGAAGGCCCTCGAGGCCGTCCCGTTGTTCATTGATTTGCTCGAGCGGGCCCAGTAACATCTCCATTGGAGATTTTGTTGTTACTGTGTTTGGCATATCGAATACATCACGGGTGGCTTGTCAGGCTCTGCCATACGGGCGAGATACTCTCGGTAGCTTGCCGGGCTCTCCTAGAGGTGCAGAGGAATCGAACTCGGGTCGGCCATGTTGGCCGCTTGTAAGGCAAATGCCCTACCGCTGTGCTATCCCTCCAGCCCAAAAAGTTGTTAAACTATACTCCCTGAAATTCTGTAATCTTGTAAACTAATTCATTGATTTTTTTAAAGAAATGAAAGTCCTCACACAAAAATCCGGTACGGAACATTCAGAAATGTAAAAAATTTGTATACCTGTATAGCAGCTTTTGGAAAAATCAATACTGGGCATTATAGTACAACCAAACTATGAAATGCTACAACCTATGAAAAATAACTATGCAAGCCTGAATGTATGTTTTGCGTCTCTCTTCCTGGAACCAGTTACGTTCCTCTTGCATCAAACCCAGAATAGACCCAGAGTACTGACAAATGTGATCCACCAAATAAAGCCATTTTCTAGGCTGAGGGTGCTAACTCAGTAGTAGAGTGTTTGCCTGATAGTTGTGAGGTCCCAAAGGACAAGAGGGAAAAAATTGCAAATACATTCCTTATAATATGGTCCTTAAAAAAAAAGAAGCTTAACAGAGAAAACTAAAAGAAACTCACAGACAATAATAGCACATTTGTGAGTGGAAGGTGCCCTGCCCCCACCACTCCACCCCCCTCCAGGGCTGATTAAAAGAAAAAAAGAACAGGAGTTTCAGTATAAAAGGAAAATTTGAGAAGGAAAATTCTTTGTTGTCCCTCAAATCCATGTCATAGGCAACTGACTAGTGTGACCCTCTATGCAGAATTAAATGCTCAGATTTATAGGAAAATTACTACTCAAGTGATAGCACAGCGGTAGGGCATACGCCTTACAAGCGGCCAACATGGCCGACCCGAGTTCGATTCCTCCGCCCCTCTCGGAGAGCCCGGCAAGCTACCGAGAGTCTTTGATATGCCAAACACAGTAACAACAAAGTCTCCAATGGAGACGTTACTGGGCCCTCTCGAGCAAATCGACGATCAACTGGAGGGCCTTTACCTTTTACCTTTACCATCTCTTTCCATGGTGACTCTTACTCAAGTGAGGAGCATAAATAAAAATTATAATTGCATGTATTAATAGTAATTTCTATTAAGCTGATAATATGACAAGTAATAAGAGACTATGGAATAAGAAATTTACACATATTGGCCCTCCAGCAACTGAGATTCAAAGAAGTTAGTTTGCAAGGTACTCTGACTCAGCCTGTGAGATCAGGTTGATTTCATCAGAATCTGCAAACAGGCATTTGAGCATCAGTTCTCAGTGAATTATGTACATTTCACTCTAGAAATAACCAGCAACGAGTAGAAGAGAAGGAAGCATATGTGATCTAAATCATATTGAATATTTGAATTCGACTGGAATATATTTATGTCCATAACTCAAATCATAATGTCCTAAAAATGAGGGCCGAGACTTGTGAAGGTCCAGCTCAGAGATGCAGAAATGAAGTCCTTCCAGAAGGTACTTTGAGGGGCTGGAGCGATATAGTGGGCAGGATGCTTGCACAAGGCCGACTGGGTTCGATGCCTGGCATCTCATATGGTCCCCCAAGCACTGCCAGGAGTAATTCCTGAGTGTAGAGCCAGTAGTAACTCCTGAGCATCACTGGGTGTGCCCAAAAAGCAATCAATCAAGCAAGCAAGTAAGTAAATATATTATCAAAGGCACTTTGATACTGAGGGTCATAAAGGAAAACCATACCCTGAAGAGGTTCAGTGCCCTTCCAAGGAGCAAAACAGAGGCTTCCCACCGAACTACAGTTTCTCTTAATTCATTCTATCTTTGCCTCTCACCCACCCCATCCCAGCTATTCATTAACTTTATAAAATTATCTTGGCCATGCAAACTAAACAGTGACAGATTGCGTATGGGTTTTATCTGCTCCTAGGAATCTTAGGTTGCTTAGTTGTAGGGTTAAAGTCACCACTGAAAAATTGTTAACTAGCATCCAGCACTATCTCACTGGTTTCTTTGAGTGACTAAGAAATGAGAGTTGGGTTTACAACCAGGGCCATGGTCATAACGTTCAGAGGAAAAACGAAGAAAAAGTTAAGCATAAATTAGGTTGAAGAGAAAAAAAAACTGCTATGAACCTGTTGGTGGGTTTAGCAGAAATACATTCTGAAGGCAGGAAAACTGAAAGGCACCTGGATTTGCCTGGGCCATTTCAATGGATGTCTTCAATGGATAGGAAAATATAGATAAGAAAACACCTAGATTTCAGAAAGTCCAAGTAGAAAAAGCATGGCAATTCAGAAGATAGCCTTATCTTAAAAGTCTGAAATGATAATTTGTATATGTCATACCCTGTAACCATCATTGATATCCCCCAATAATATGGATTTAGTACCTATTCTATACAAAGTTCTCTCCTGTGGGCAATAAGGAAGCTGAATCCAATCCCGACATTTAAGGAAAGGCCAAACTACTTGTTCAGCCAAGTCATCTCTCCACTTCTCACCACCATACCACACCCCCAGACAGCCTTCCCTCTTGCCATCAGTATTTTGACCCTTCTCCTGATAGGCCAGACTCACAAACATGCATTACCTATTCGTCACTCAAAAATATTTAACCAATTATCAGTTTCTATTAATTATGCCATTGCATTATCTGTAAAATGAATTGCATCTGGTTACAGTCCTATTCCAAGTCATTATTGTATGACTCCTAGTTCCTCTGGCACTCGTATCTGCAGCAGGCCCTATACTTCAGCCTTGTCTCCCACTGCCCTCAACATGAAACCTCAATTCTGGCTAAGCTCCACTCCTATCCATTCCCTCTAGGGTCCCTTTCAGTATCCACCTAGACTCCTGTGTTAAGAGAGTCCCATAAATCTATACCATTCTTCTCTCAGGTACTTTAGCCTTCCAAATTTCCATCACGGGAGAATACCCTTTCAGAAAGATTTTCCGTAAAGTTGAACAAGTTGTGGAACACACCAGGCTGTGTTTAGAGGTTAATCCTGAGTGCACTCAGGGATTACTCCTGGAGGGTTGTGGGAGACTATATACGGTGCCAGGGGTTCAAATGCAGGTCAGACAAGGACTCTTTTTCCAGCCCTGAATATATATTTTCTTTCTTCAACCAATCTTTGTCCCAAGCTGTGCAACTTAACCTGATGTTTACCTCTGCAGAGGTGGAGAGGACTCAGTGTACTGTACCAATAAGTAACAGCAAGATCCTCAGCCTTAAGCATCAAGTGAAAATATAATTCTTCTCAGCATGAAACTCTAGCCAGTAAGAAGTGCAGCTAAACTGCAACCTAACCAAAGCAACCAGCATTGCCGAGAAAGCTTTGATTTTAGAGCCCTTTCCTGTATATATGACTACAGAGGAGCAAACTTTTAGGATATCTTCTCCCCGCTCCTGCTCTGGAAAGTTCTTGCCCTCTACTGGGCTTACTACTCATTTTGATGCCAAACAATTTTGGCATCTAAGGTTGGCAATATCTTCTTTCCTGGTTTAGTAGGAACTCTCAAAGTATTTCAAGCGAATATCTCTAGGGAAGTAAACCCTAACAAGCAGCATTATGAGGAAACATTTTTTATGTTTTCCTCTAATTAACCCCTTAGCACATTATTGTTTTCCTATTGCTACTAAAAGAAGTTATCATAAATTTATTGACTTAGAACAGCACAGATTTATTATTGTACGGTTTCCAAGCTCAGAATTCTGAAATCAGTTTCGCTGGGATAGAGTCAAAATGTGGAAAGACCAATGCCCAATGCAAAGAGCAGCACTACTTAGCAGCTTTAGCAAGACGGGAAAAGGCTTCACTGAAGTCCTGAGAATGGTTGGAGCAATGCTTAAATCTACATCTTGTCCTTTTGTTTCAAGTAATCTTTATACTAATAGAAAAAAGGCTTCACCGTTTGTTTCTATTCCTTACAGTTTTCTGGACAAACAACAGTGGGGGGATTGAGGTCATCTACCTTCCTGAATAACAGTGTAAAATGTGTTTTGTTCTATTCTCTCCAAATCATAATAATTTGTAGCAGCTCTTAAAATCCTCTGGCTGGTTCAAAGATAAAATGAAGAAAAACAAAGGATGGTCTGCGTGAGTTTCTGCATATTCGTTCTCTACAAAATGATTGTAATATATTTTAAAAATCTGGAAAAGAGCTGCTTCAAGCCAAGAAT